ATCAATAGCCGAGTCGATTGAGGCATGTCTGTCTGTCATTCTGGCTTTAACATTGATTAAATCTGATCCCACTTCGGTGATCTGATAGATATGGTTCTTTCCTACGGAATGGCATTTATATCTTTTATCTATTTATACCCGGTACTCGAAGAATAAATAGGGTATATTGTATTTGNTGTGCCGGGAGAATGAACAATTTTAGCTGCCTCTTGAGGTCCGCTATGAATGCGTGTAAAGCATCATTCCTGATTTCCTCGTTGAGAATGGTAGCTGCCTCCTCATTATGAGTTATGGCCAATTTGTTAGTGACGAGCGTTAGCTTTCACTTGACTTCGTCATAATATTCCATTTCCAAGTGTTGACGTAATACTCGTAGGGATGTTTTGTCCGCATATGTGCAATCGAGTCTAGCTATGATTGCATCAAAATTGAGCACCGTGTTGTGCGATGTGAGCAATGCTCGAGCTGTTCCACAGATTTTATTTTTTATGATGGCCACAGCCTCGTAGTGTGTCTGACTAACAGTGTAGTTTTTGAAAACTTCGTACGCATCTAGAGCAGATTGTCTCCCTGACACATATTCCTCATGATTCCCGTTGAAAGTTGGTACTGATTTTATGATATCTAGTTTCACTTCACATTTTATATTAGTGTCAATGGTCACTCTCTTATAAGTTTCCACCTGAGGGACACCTAAAGTTAGGGCGCTCACACTATTTCTAACTTTTTCGAGTTCCCTGACAAATTCTGCACTCAGTCGTCGTTCCTGTTCGACCAGGGCTGTGTTGATTGCGCCTTCTACTAACGCTTTTATCATGGCTGGATCGTTTTTAAATTGATTCTGTACTGTTCTGACTGGGGTCTGGTACAATAAGTCTAGGCTCTCGTCGCTTTCGTATTCGACTTTGTTTCTATAGTCCCAAATCATGAACGATCAACGATGGGGAAATAAAAATTCTCTCACAAGCTTAATTTTTTCGGAACAGTCACTTACATGTTATTTTTTCTTGGGGACGTGGATCCTAAATCTCGTTGGGCGCCAGTTGTCTTGATGTCGTGTTGGTCCGAGCTGCGGTATGCGTTGCGTTGGCTCCGGCGGCAGCGATCGGGTTCCCGTGGCCCGCTCTTGTAGCGGGGGACGGTGGTTGCCGTTGGCAACTAAGTCTTCTACCGAAGATTATGTTGAGAGGGTAACTGCCCTCTATTTCGTTGGCCCTTAAGGCTCAAAGGTATAATTATATTAATACACGTTTTACGACTCGTGTCGGAGTAGATATGAACGCTCCGTTCATTTATTCGTCCAATTCTAAACTAAAGCTTACTTCTAAACCTAAACCGCAACTTATCCGGCTACCCGGCCGCGCACAAAACAAAATCATGCGATCGCTGCCGCCCAATCAGATAGGAGAGCCACCCGCTGCAACGGCATCTACTGCATCGGCGCCCTCAGTATCAGACAGGATAAGTTAGGGCGGCCCACGATAATTCGTATTTCTTATGCGCAAAGTTAGGGTGACACATGAACATTCGTGCTTAATTTCTTACACGTTATTTCTTATGTGTTAACTTATATATTCTTGATCAGCATCAATAGCCGAGTCGATTGAGCCATGTCTGTCTGTCCGTCCGTCTTGTTGAGCGCCTGGATCTCAGAGACCATAAAAGCTAGAGCCACCAAATGTTGCATCCAGACTTATGTATGCTCACACTGTTACAAATGTATTTCAAAAATGAGCCACGCCCCCTTCCGCCCCCGCAAAAGGGCGAAAACCTCCCAAATCTACAGTTTTGAAGATAAAATAAAACTAAAAAAGCCATTCCGTAGGGAATGGCCATATCTTTCAGATCACCGAATATGAATCCGATTGGATCATTATTATAGCTACAATGGCAATTAATTTCCAGTGGCCAAACCCACCCTGTCCCGCAGTTTTTGGTACTCTTTTTACATTCTTTCATTCACACTCTGCTTCTGCTTCACTCGGCCCCTACCTCTGCCCTCCCCCTGGCGTTGACTCTTCCGACTTTTAACCAAGACTCGGTTTTGAACGCTAATTGGCGCCACTTTCGAAAAATTTGCTGTGAAACCTATCGGTCATTATTGCACAGAATGTGCAGACCATTGGACCATCAAAGTTGCGTACAAGAAATTTTCATAGATGGCGGCAGAAGGAATACCCTCTTTGGCCACTTGGCTAAGGGGCGTCATGATACCCAATATTTCCACCTGTTTGTGTTCGTATGTGGTCTTCTCCACCTGACTATTAACGACCTGCATAGACGACGTCACTGAAACGTTCTGCTCGGGTGCGTCGAACTGTTCATAACTGTTCTGCTCAAAATGTGGGCCCATCTCTGTCTCCATAACCGCTGTCTCCACTACCTGAGCCACAGCCTGGCCACCACGGAAATCAATGTCCGCAAAAACAGCTGACATTGGATGGCCATCTGCAAGACGTGGCGGCACCGGCGCGTGGTGGTTCTTCTCGCTATCCAGGTACAACGCCACGTTGTTCAACGGCATAAAGTTGTTGTTGACCAGCGAACAGAGCATAAATGGGTGTATCCCTCTCGCGGTACGACCGTTAAGTATTACTTCGAGAGAGGGAGATGGCATGAAAGCCATCACTAGATCCTATCTAGGATTTGAATTTCGATCCCGCTGTCTTTCAGCGCGACGCAAGGAATGGATGATCTCTGCAGCGTAGGTGCTCGCGGCATCCCAATTGTTTTGCGAGCTAAGCAGGATATCCATTAAGTCATTGACTATAAATGGCCTCCCAATGTCTAGGCTTAGCTCTTCCCGGTCAGCAGAGAATCTTGGACAGACAAAAAATACATGTTCAGCGTCTTCTATGGTCCGTGCACAGTGCGTACAAAACGGATCCGACTCGCATTTAAATTTATGTAGGTAGAATTTAAAGCACCTATGTCCTGTTAAAAGCTGCGTTAGGTAAAAGTTAGTCTCCCCAAAAGTTCTACACACCCAGGGCCCTATGTCCGGGACTATATATGCCGTTGGGTGTGTTACGCCATCGCTCCTGCCATCTATGTTGAGTCTCCGCCTCGCGGATTGCCTGGTCTTCGATGGTGGTTCCAGCGGCGAGAAGGTCGATTGGCGCCATGCCGGCCAATACTAGGGCCGCATCTTCGGAGACGGTGCGGTAAGCGCTAATGACTCTCAGTGCACATCTTCGGTAGGCCGCTTTGCAGGTGCGGCTGTACGTTGGGAGCTCCATAGCTGGTGCCCATATTTGAGCAGCGTACATAATGATGGCTCTGACGACAGAGCAGATGAGCAGTCTTGGACCGCCGATGTTGGCCATTATGCCGGATAGCACGCTTGCTGCCCTGCCGGCTTTGTCTGGACGTTGACATGCAATGACTGCACCATCAAGTGGCCCATGCGACACCAAGTCAAAGCCTGTTACGCGCGGAACCCAGCAGAACGCAGCCCTCCTCCCGCCAAACCGACCGAGGGGCGCTGCCGCATGACGCGCGGCGCGATTAACCGAACCGGTCGCGAGCATGCAGGAAAGATAGATGTTAGGCTAATATTCGAGGAAAATTAGAGCTAAACATAACTAGACTAGAGCTACTATAGCTAAGCAAGCAAAAATTACCAAAATCAGAAACAAGACAAAACTAAAATGAAACTAACTACGGGAGAGGGGAGTTAGTTGAGGATATAATGTGCTAGAGGGAATTAAAATCCGAGCATAAAACCCTAATGGGTTCGTGTGAGGCATAATTCGATCTACATAGTGGAAGGAACAAAGGAATATAGTTTCTAGTGGGTCTAATGGGAATGGTAAAGTTTATGCGGATCAGCAAGTCAGGGCTGTCTACATCCCCCTTGATCAAGTTGTGCATAAAAATTACACCAAGAATTTTTCTACGACTAACTAAGGATGGAAGGTTTATTAGAAGGAGTCTACTACGGTAGGATGGCAGTCTCACAGTTGCATCCAAGTTGAGGCCCCGTAGGGCAAATAATAAACATTTTTTCTGTACTGATTCAATACGGTCCTGATGTATGTTGTACTGGGGGCACCATACACATGAGTCGTATTCTAAAATCGGACGAACAAGCGAGATATAGAGAGTCTTCGTTATATAGGGGTCCTCAAATTCCTTTGACCACCTCTTTATAAACCCAAGCACACCCATGGCTTTATTTACCATGGTAGAAATGTGTTCAGAAAACTTTAACTTGGGGTCTAGTTTAACACCTAGATCATCAACCAATGTAATTATCTCAAGAGAACTACCGCAGAGGGTGTAAGGAGCCAGGAAGGGGCTGGAGCGATAAAAAGTCATTACATTGCACTTCGAGGCATTAAGTTGTAACATATTTGCACAGCACCATGACTGAAAGTTATTGACTCCGGTTTCTTCCAGGTGCTGCTTGTAGCCAAGCCTGTGGGTTAGATGGACTCCCAGGTACTTGATAGCCGGGGACAACAACCACTCTGGCTATCTCTACCTTTTTCCTGGTGCTAAACAGGATCGATTCGGTTTTGTGCGCTGCTAGGCTGAGGACGTTTTCCTGGAGCCAGCACATCACTCGTCTGACGGTCTCGTTCGTGTTCTCCTCTACTTCAGTTAGGTTTTTATGTACCGCTACTACCGCGATGTCGTCTGCGAAGCCAACAATGCTGCAGCCGGCTGGTGTGTCCAGTCGTAGGATGCCATCGTACATGACGTTCCACAGAAGCGGGCCGAGAACAGACCCCTGTGGAACGCCTCCTATAACTTGTCGTCGTTTTTGTCCCGTCGAGGTGTCGAATAGCAACACTCTGTTTTTGAAATAGCTAGCTACTATGGCCACCAGGTAATCAGATACACCAATTCTGGAGAGGGCGGCAATGATGCTTGGCCACCTCGCAGAGTTAAAGGAATTTTTTTATATCTAGTGTAGTTACCAGGCAGTACTTCTTGGTGCCACCGTGCCATCTCTTCCCAGCTATGGCTTCGCGGGCTTTACCCACCACTGCTCTGATCGCGTCGGTGGTGCTTCTCCTCTCCCAAAGCCGAATTGGAGTTCAGATAGTCCCTGTAGGTTGTCAATTTCCGCTTCTAGCCTATTTTTGATGATTCGCTGGAACAGCTTCTCCGTTACGCTGATCATGCACAGAGGCCTGTATCCAGCCGAGTCTTCGGGGTCCTTCCCAGTCTTTGGTAGAAGCACGGGCCTCTGGCGCTTCCAGCCCGTGGGGAAGACTTGCTCATGCAGGCATTGGTTAAAAGTCTTCGCTATCGCTTCCGGGTATGTTGTGGCTATCGCCCGGACTGCTATGGCGGGTATACCGTCGGGCCCTGGCGCTTTGCCGATCTTCATGCTCTTAGCCGCTTTTAAAAGCTCTTCCGCACCGATCTGTGAAGGTGTGGAGGTCTCCCGGTGTCTGGGCACGTAGGCTAGTTCCTGTTGCGTGGGGAAAAGTGTATCCACGATTCTGGACAATAATTCCGGGCAGGTGGGCATTACCTTGCGCGCCAGTTTGCCCATCACCATCTTGTAGGCTAGGCCAAAAGCTGCAGGTCTGCCTCCTTGCAGAGGTCCTTCCAGCAGTTTGCTTTGCTTCGTTTGATCTCCTTGGTGAGATGTGCCCGTTGTTGGTGGTAGATGGAGTGCGCTTCTGCCGCTTCCTGTGCTGCTTGGGGGTCTTGTGGTCTCCGCCTTGCTCTTTTCATGGTCCTCTGGTAGCCGCGTCTTGCTGCGTGGCTCCCTCTCCGCAGATCCGCTATTTCCTGCGACCACCAGTGCACTGGCTTTCGCTTGCTTCCCCCATTTACCATGGCGGCTTCGCAGGCAGTCTCCATTGCTGTACCTAGCGATTTTGCCTGCTGCTCTGCATTCCCGTGTACACTTTCGCTGCTTTGACGGAACATGAGGAGCAGGAACTGGGTGTCCATGTCCTCCGTTTTCCAAGCTGTGCGCCTTATGGTTGCGGTCCGTCTGGTGGGTCCGTCGTCGATACAGCACGTTATGGCCCGGTGGTCACTATGCGTATATACACTTGCGACCTTGTAGGTGGCTCTCCGTGACAGTTGGGGGCTGGCGAATGTAACGTCGATTACCGATCCACGGTCACCCTTAACGTATGTTTGTGTACTTCCTTTATTCAGGAGCACCACACTCAGGGTCGCGAACACATCAAGTAGGACGCTTCCGCGTGCGTTTGTCCTTGTGCTTCCCCACTCGGTCGCCCATGCGTTGAAATCGCCAGCAATGATCACTGGGGAACGACTACGTGCATCTTCCGCTAGGTCTGCCGATGCCTCTGCCGACTTTTAACCCACCCCGTCCCGCAGCTTTTATTTGTTTTTTTTTTTTTTGTGTGCGGACGGTGCCTCTGCCTTCTGCAGTGTGATGGTCTAGGGAAGGGCGGCGAGCTAACGGAGCGTGTTGGTGTGAGAAGTGTTGTAGATGTAGATGACAGATGAAGAAAAGATTTAAAATTTGACAAAACATCGTTAAGGTGCAGATGTTGTACTGAGTTCCGGGTATAAAAGTTGTGACGCGTAAGAAGCGTCTCACACGTCCCTTCTCGTTTTTTTCATACGCCTTAGTAGATGTAACGGAAGTATCTTATGTTGAGCGTAAAGGAGACAGATAAGTTAGTTTTTTAACGTTGTGCTTGTTTAATACAATATAAAGAACCGAAGAACATGTCATACATTGTACATATGTATATAAATATGCGATGTATCACATTCAACAAAACTTTATCTCTATGAGCACGCATGGAAGAGTTCCCTAACCTTGAGAACGCTTTCTCATTCATATTGCAAATAACTGAGTATGCGCAACATAAATGTTACTTTAGAAATTACGATATTCATTTTCCACATCATTGCAGAACAAGCAGAAAATGCGAATGAAGAAGCATAGAATGACGATGTTGGTCAAGCATAAGCAACAAGAGTACAGAGAGATAGTTTGAAGATATATGTACATCTTAACTCCAAGCAAAACGTATATTTTATTACGGCGAATCTTTTTCTAATCAAAATGAATGTGTAAGCTAAATACCGCTAGGAACCCATAGTAATCTGCTTTGACCAGCCAACGAATTAAAAAAACTCAGCATACTCCAAACATCAACTCTAGATCATATGGGAAACATTTTTTCAATTGAGATCTAGATTCTAGAAGTACTCACCTTTTTAAATTCATCGAAATGGACAAATAAAAATACGATAGTTAACATCGGAAAAGACTATTATAACTGAAACAACTTGAATTTAATTCAGAATAGGCTCTTCACACTGAGCCCCTCCAAGGGGAACTTTGGATTTTTTTGAAAGATGTGAAGCGACTTGACGAATGTCCAAGGATTCGAAGAGATTGGATTTCCACAGTGTCTAGGTGCAATTGGTAAGAAAGCAATAGAACAATTCATTATACATCTATAGATATGCACATAAATATGTAAATTGGTTTTCCCTTTATTGTAGATGGATGTCAAATCGAAAAAAAACCACCAGGAGCTGAGGCAGTCTACCATCACAATTATAAAGGCTGGTACTCCACCGTATTGTTTGCAAATTTTCGACTTTCACTCGAACATCTCCCCATCCAATCGCGAGCCCAGCCTCCTTCATGGCTCCACGCAGATCTTCAATATTCTCCTGCCAGAGATCTATCAGCAGGCTCTCCATCTCCGATGACTATTTCCCCCTGCCACCTGTTGTTCTCTTCTTTTCTGCAATATTGATAAATTTAATGTTATTTTGAAACAACAAAAAATGTAATATATGCTTACAACCGCTATTTGCCGATCCTTGTTCCATTTTTTATACCCGGTACTCGAAGAATAAATAGGGTATATTGTAATTGTGTGAATAACGGTTGTATGTAACGCACAGAAGGAAACGTTTCCGACTAGTATCAATAGCCGAGTCGATAGAGCCATGCCTGTCTGTCCGTCTGTCCGTCCGTCCGTCCGTCCGTCTTGTTTGTCGGTTAGTTCTCAAAAACTATAAGAGATAGAGCCACCAAATGTTGGCTCCGGACTGCTGTATGCTCACACTGAAACCAGTGTATTTCAAAAATTAGCCCCGCCCCCTTCCGCCTCCGCAAAAGGGCAAAAACCTCCCAAACCTACAGTACATATCTATCAGATCACCAAATTGTTATCCGATCGGATCATTATTATAGCAACAATGGAGAAATTAATATCCAGTGGCTAAACCCACCCTGTCCCGCAGCTTTTGTTGTTCTTTTTACATTCTCTCATTCACACTCGGCTTCTGCCTCACTCGGCCCCTGCCTCTGCCCTCCCCCTGCCTGTATAAAAGTTGTGACGTTGTGCGTCTCACACGTCACTTCTCGTTTTATATTTTTTTTTTTTGAAAGCTCCAGCTACACTCTGCTCTACTTCACAAGTGTTTTGTTGTTGGTTTTCCTCTTCTTCTGTCAGTCATTGTTACAATTTCCCAATGAATATAATTTTTTCGTTGTGAATGCCAAATATTTATGGTTGTATTTGAAAATAGCCGAATAAATATCGCGTGCAAATTAGGAACTGTAATAACTGGAACATTTTCGGACCATCCCAGAAATGGATGGTTGATGGTGCCCAGTGTGAAAAGGCTATTAAAGTGTTGTGTTATATGTTCCGATTTATAAGAACATGTAAGAGACCAAGTATTACATTTGAAAAGAACATGTAAGAGGATCTAGAGTTGGTCCTAGTCTTCAGAGGTTGAACCCATTCACCCATTAAGACACTGGTGTAAAGCTAAAACTTGAGCTCCTATATCATACGATGCCAAGTTTCCGTTGCTTTTGACAAAGCGCTCGTAATACGTGCGTAGCTTTGTATGCTATATATGTATGTCCATCACCTGCATTCTCACGAGCAGGAGGTATGCAGTCAGACAGTCCGATCATGTATCCGCTGCATTAAATGGAAGCCTGGACTGCTTCCGTGCTCTCCGTCCTTTTTATACCCAGTACTCGAAGGGTAAATAGGGTATATTGTATTTGTGCACAAAGGTGGATGTATGTAACACACAGAAGGAAGCGTCTCCAACCCCATAAAGTATATATATTCTTGATCAGCATCAATAGCCGAGTCTATATAGCCATGTAGGTCTGTCTGAGCCACCAAATGTCGCATTTAGATGGCTGTATGCTCACACTGCTGCAAGTGTATTTCGTCACGCCCCCTCCGCCCCGCAAAGGCGAAAATCTGCTGTATCCACAATTTTAAAGATAAAAGAAAACTAAAATGCCATTCTGTAGGAAAGAACCATATCTATCAGATCACCGAAGTGAATCAATGTTAAAGCCAGAATGAAGAAATTAATTTGCAGTGGCTACTCACACCCCATCCAGCAGTTTTTTTTTGTTGTTTCACATTCTCTCATTTCACACTCTGCTTCGTGCAGTGTGTGGCTCTAGGGGACATGGTGAAATTACTAATAGGTGACGTTGTCGCCACGGTGCTCCTCATTCGAGGAATACCAGCTTGTCAGTCGTTTGCCAAACGTTGACGAAAGAGGTTGTGTAGCGCACGATTTTTTTCATTGTCTTCTTCTTTTTCTTCATTGTTTACGAATGAAGACGTAGCGGAAGACAATGAAATATGCATGCAACTACTATTTTATTTTGGACGTTTTATTTGTATTTTTAGAAATAAACATGTCTGCAGCATATTGTTTGCTATGCCTATGTTATTATTTGTTTTGAACTATTTCGTTTTATTTTTTATTGAACATCTTTTCTTTGCTGTCAGCAGAAACAATAAAAACGAAGAGTGCANAGTAAATAGGTTATATTGTATTTGTGTGAATAACGGTTGTATGTAACGCACAGAAGGAAACGTTTCCGACCCCATAAAGTATATATATTCTTGATCAGCATCAATAGCCGAGTCTATATAGCCATGTAGGTCTGTCTGAGCCACCAAATGTCGCATTTAGATGGCTGTATGCTCACACTGCTGCAAGTGTATTTCGTCACGCCCCCTCCGCCCGCAAAGGCGAAAATCTGCTGTATCCACAATTTTAAAGATAAAAGAAAACTAAAATGCCATTCCGTAGGAAAGAACCATATCTATCAGATCACCGAAGTGAATCAATGTTAAAGCCAGAATGAAGAAATTAATTTGCAGTGGCTACTCACACCCCATCCAGCAGTTTTTTGTTGTTGTTTCACATTCTCTCATTTCACACTCTGCTTCGTGCAGTGTGTGGCTCTAGGGGACATGGTGAAATTACTAATAGGTGACGTTGTCGCCACGGTGCTCCTCATTCGAGGAATACCAGCTTGTCAGTCGTTTGCCAAACGTTGACGAAAGAGGTTGTGTAGCGCACGATTTTTTTCATTGTCTTCTTCTTTTTCTTCATTGTTTACGAATGAAGACGTAGCGGAAGACAATGAAATATGCATGCAACTACTATTTTATTTTGGACGTTTTATTTGTATTTTTAGAAATAAACATGTCTGCAGCATATTGTTTGCTATGCCTATGTTATTATTTGTTTTGAACTATTTCGTTTTATTTTTTATTGAACATCTTTTCTTTGCTGTCAGCAGAAACAATAAAAACGAAGAATGCAAAACGTAAAACGCTTGCTATCTCTCTCTAGCGCTTGCCTCTCTGAGAGTTGAGAGAGCGTGGTGAATAAGCTGGTGATCCTCCACTCAGCTGATGACGTTACCTATTAGTAATTCTACCATGCAAGGGGAGAGGGGCGAGCTAGACAAATATGAAATGTAAAATTTAGCTTACTACTGAGTACCAGGTGTAAAAGTTTTTTTTATCAACGACATTGAAAATTCGATGCGATTTGTTTTGTTTGCGTGTCGGTTTACTTTGAAGTAGTTTCAGACCAGACCACTGCTCCATGGGTAAACAGCCCGTTTTTTTGGCATTAATCAAAAAAATACAGCTAAAGCTCTACAAATTGGCATGAATGTTAGTTAGACTAAAGTTGAATATCGAAAAAAATGTAGTCAAATGGACCCCGCCTACCTCCCGCCCCCATAAAAAATGGAACCCATTTACGTCGTATTTATTATAAAAAAAAGGTATTTAAACGATTAATTATAATAAAAGATCCATTAAAACATTTTAGAACATTAAAAAATATATTTGATTGACTGATTGAATGATTGTTTGGTTAAAAGTAATTTTATTGGAATCGCTCCAACGTACAATTGCATTTCGCTTAGTACTTGTTTAACTAAGCAATATATTAAATCATTTTCATTTGAATTGTAATAGTTTCATCTTTAGTTAGTCAGTTTTTGTCAATGCTCTTTAAACTACAAAATTAATTTATTCATTGTGGCTATAATAATGATCCAAAATTCGGATCCCAATTTGGTGATCTGATAGATATGGCCGTTCCCTATGGAATGGCGTTTTTAGTTTTCTTTTATCTTCAAAATTGTAGGTTTGGGAGGTTTTCGCTATTTTTCGGGGGCGGGGCTAATTTTTGAAATACACTGGTTTCAGTGTGAGCATACAGCTGTCTGGACTTGGTCCTTTTTTGGTAACTCTAGTTCTTATAGTCTCTGAGAACTAGCCGACAAACAAGACGGACAGACAGACATGGCTCTATCGACTCGGCTATTGATTTTGATCAAGAATATATATACGAAAACCTCCTAAACCTACAGTTTGAAGATAAAAGAAAACACCAAATTGGGATCCGATTGGATCATTATTATAGCCACAATGAATAAATTAATTTGCAGTGGCTAAACCCACCCTGTCCCGCAGCTTTTGTTGTTCTTTTTACATTCTCTCATTCACACTCTGCTTCTGCTTCACTCGGCCCCTGCCTCTGCCCTCCCCCTGCCGATGCCTCTGCCGACTTTTAACCCACCCCGTCCCGCAGCTTTTATTTGTTTTTTTTTTTTTTGTGTGCGGACGGTGCCTCTGCCTTCTGCAGTGTGAGGGTCTAGGGAAGGGCGGCGAGCTACCGGAGCGTGTTGGTGTGAGAAGTGTTGTAGATGTAGATGACAGATGAAGAAAAGATTTAAAATTTGACAAAACATCGTTAAGGTGCAGATGTTGTACTGAGTTCCGGGTATAAAAGTTGTGACGCGTAAGAAGCGTCTCACACGTCCCTTCTCGTTTTTTTCATACGCCTTAGTAGATGTAACGGAAGTATCTTATGTTGAGCGTAAAGGAGACAGATAAGTTAGTTTTTTAACGTTGTGCTTGTTTAATACAATATAAAGAACCGAAGAACATGTCATACATTGTACATATGTATATAAATATGCGATGTATCACATTCAACAAAACTTTATCTCTATGAGCACGCATGGAAGAGTTCCATAACCTTGAGAACGCTTTCTCATTCATATTGCAAATAACTGAGTATGCGCAACATAAATGTTACTTTAGAAATTACGATATTCATTTTCCACATCATTGCAGAACAAGCAGAAAATGCGAATGAAGAAGCATAGAATGACGATGTTGGTCAAGCATAAGCAACAAGAGTACAGAGAGATAGTTTGAAGATATATGTACATCTTAACTCCAAGCAAAATGTATATTTTATTACGGCGAATCTTTTTCTAATCAAAATGAATGTGTAAGCTAAATACCGCTAGGAACCCATAGTAATCTGCTTTGACCAGCCAACGAATTAAAAAAACTCAGCATACTCCAAACATCAACTCTAGATCATATGGGAAACATTTTTCCAATTGAGATCTAGATTCTAGAAGTACTCACCTTTTTAAATTCATCGAAATGGACAAATAAAAATGCGATAGTTAACATCGGAAAAGACTATTATAACTGAAACAACTTGAATTTAATTCAGAATAGGCTCTTCACACTGAGTCCCTCCAAGGGGAACTTTGGATTTTTTTGAAAGATGTGAAACGACTTGACGAATGTGTCCAAGGATTCGAACAGATTGGATTTCCACAGTGTCTAGGTGCAATTGGTAAGAAAGCAATAGAACAATTCATTATACATCTATAGATATGCACACACATATGTAAATTGGGTTTCCCTTTATTGTAGATGGATGTCAAATCGAAAAAAAACCACCAGGAGCTGAGGCAGTCTACCATCACAATTATAAAGGCTGGTACTCCACCGTATTGTTTGCAAATTTTCGACTTTCACTCGAACATCTCCCCATCCAATCGCGAGCCCAGCCTCCTTCATGGCTCCACGCAGATCTTCAATATTCTCCTGCCAGAGATCTATCAGCAGGCTCTCCATCTCCGATGACTATTTCCCCCTGCCACCTGTTGTTCTCTTCTTTTCTGCAATATTGATAAATTTAATGTTATTTTGAAACAACAAAAAATGTAATATATGCTTACAACCGCCACCAAATGTTGGCTCCGGACTGCTGTATGCTCACACTGAAACCAGTGTATTTCAAAAATTAGCCCCGCCCCCTTCCGCCTCCGCAAAAGGGCAAAAACCTCCGAAACCTACAGTACATATCTATCAGATCACCAAATTTTTATCCGATCGGATCATTATTATAGCAACAATGGAGAAATTAATATCCAGTGGCTAAACCCACCCTGTCCCGCAGCTTTTGTTGTTCTTTTTACATTCTCTCATTCACACTCTGCTTCTGCCTCACTCGGCCCCTGCCTCTGCCCTCCCCCTGCCTGTATAAAAGTTGTGACGTTGTGCGTCTCACACGTCTCTTCTCGTTTTATATTTTTTTTTTTTGTTGAAAGCTCCAGCTACACTCTGCTCTACTCCACAAGTGTTTTGTTGTTGGTTTTCCTCTTCTTCTGTCAGTCATTGTTACAATTTCCCAATGAATATAATTTTTTCGTTGTGAATGCCAAATATTTATGGTTGTATTTGAAAATAGCCGAATAAATATCGCGTGCAAATTAGGAACTGTAATAACTGGAACATTTTCGGACCATCCCAGAAATGGATGGTTGATGGTGCCCAGTGTGAAAAGGCTATTAAAGTGTTGTGTTATATGTTCCGATTTATAAGAACATGTAAGAGACCAAGTATTACATTTGAAAAGAACATGTAAGAGGATCTAGAGTTGGTCCTAGTCTTCAGAGGTTGAACCCATTCACCCATTAAGACACTGGTGTAAAGCTAAAACTTGAGCTCCTATATCATACGATGCCAAGTTTCCGTTGCTTTTGACAAAGCGCTCGTAATACGTGCGTAGCTTTGTATGCTATATATGTATGTCCATCACCTGCATTCTCACGAGCAGGAGGTATGCAGTCAGACAGTCCGATCATGTATCCGCTGCATTAAATGGAAGCCTGGACTGCTTCCGTGCTCTCCGTCCTTTTTATACCCAGTACTCGAAGGGTAAATAGGGTATATTGTATTTGTGCACAAAGTTAATGTATGTAACACACAGAAGGAATCGTTTCCGACCCCATAAAGTGTATATATTCTTGATCACCATCAATAGCCGAGTCGATTGAGCCCTGTCTGTCTGTCCGTCTGTCCGTCCGTCCGTCCGTCCGTCTTGTTTGTCGGTTAGTTCTCAAAAACTATAAGAGATAGAGCCACCAAATGTTGGCTCCGGACTGCTGTATGCTCACACTGAAACCAGTGTATTTCAAAAATTAGCCCCGCCCCCTTCCGCCTCCGCAAAAGGGCAAAAACCTCCCAAACCTACAGTACATATCTATCAGATCACCAAATTGTTATCCGATCGGATCATTATTATAGCAACAATGGAGAAATTAATATCCAGTGGCTAAACCCACCCTGTCCCGCAGCTTTTGTTGTTCTTTTTACATTCTCTCATTCACACTCGGCTTCTGCCTCACTCGGCCCCTGCCTCTGCCCTCCCCCTGCCTGTATAAAAGTTGTGACGTTGTGCGTCTCACACGTCACTTCTCGTTTTATATTTTTTTTTTTTGAAAGCTCCAGCTACACTCTGCTCTACTCCACAAGTGTTTTGTTGTTGGTTTTCCTCTTCTTCTGTCAGTCATTGTTACAATTTCCCAATGAATATAATTTTTTCGTTGTGAATGCCAAATATTTATGGTTGTATTTGAAAATAGCCGAATAAATATCGCGTGCAAATTAGGAACTGTAATAACTGGAACATTTTCGGACCATCCCAGAAATGGATGGTTGATGGTGCCCAGTGTGAAAAGGCTATTAAAGTGTTGTGTTATATGTTCCGATTTATAAGAACATGTAAGAGACCAAGTATTACATTTGAAAAGAACATGTAAGAGGATCTAGAGTTGGTCCTAGTCTTCAGAGGTTGAACCCATTCACCCATTAAGACACTGGTGTAAAGCTAAAACTTGAGCTCCTATATCATACGATGCCAAGTTTCCGTTGCTTTTGACAAAGCGCTCGTAATACGTGCGTAGCTTTGTATGCTATATATGTATGTCCATCACCTGCATTCTCACGAGCAGGAGGTATGCAGTCAGACAGTCCGATCATGTATCCGCTGCATTAAATGGAAGCCTGGACTGCTTCCGTGCTCTCCGTCCTTTTTATACCCAGTACTCGAAGGGTAAATAGGGTATATTGTATTTGTGCACAAAGGTGGATGTATGTAACACACAGAAGGAAGCGTCTCCAACCCCATAAAGTATATATATTCTTGATCAGCATCAATAGCCGAGTCTATATAGCCATGTAGGTCTGTCTGAGCCACCAAATGTCGCATTTAGATGGCTGTATGCTCACACTGCTGCAAGTGTATTTCGTCACGCCCCCTCCGCCCGCAAAGGCGAAAATCTGCTGTATCCACAATTTTAAAGATAAAAGAAAACTAAAATGCCATTCCGTAGGAAAGAACCATATCTATCAGATCACCGAAGTGAATCAATGTTAAAGCCAGAATGAAGAAATTAATTTGCAGTGGCTACTCACACCCCATCCAGCAGTTTTTTGTTGTTGTTTCACATTCTCTCATTTCACACTCTGCTTCGTGCAGTGTGTGGCTCTAGGGGACATGGTGAAATTACTAATAGGTGACGTTGTCGCCACGGTGCTCCTCATTCGAGGAATACCAGCTTGTCAGTCGTTTGCCAAACGTTGACGAAAGAGGTTGTGTAGCGCACGATTTTTTTCATTGTCTTCTTCTTTTTCTTCATTGTTTACGAATGAAGACGTAGCGGAAGACAATGAAATATGCATGCAACTACTATTTTATTTTGGACGTTTTATTTGTATTTTTAGAAATAAACATGTCTGCAGCATATTGTTTGCTATGCCTATGTTATTATTTGTTTTGAACTATTTCGTTTTATTTTTTATTGAACATCTTTTCTTTGCTGTCAGCAGAAACAATAAAAACGAAGAATGCAAAACGTAAAACGCTTGCTATCTCTCTCTAGCGCTTGCCTCTCTGAGAGTTGAGAGAGCGTGGTGAATAAGCTGGTGATCCTCCACTCAGCTGATGACGTTACCTATTAGTAATTCTACCATGCAAGGGGAGAGGGGCGAGCTAGACAAATATGAAATGTAAAATTTAGCTTACTACTGAGTACCAGGTGTAAAAGTTTTTTTTATCAACGACATTGAAAATTCGATGCGATTTGTTTTGTTTGCGTGTCGGTTTACTTTGAAGTAGTTTCAGACCAGACCACTGCTCCATGGGTAAACAGCCCGTTTTTTTGGCATTAATCAAAAAAATACAGCTAAAGCTCTACAAATTGGCATGAATGTTAGTTAGACTAAAGTTGAATATCGAAAAAAATGTAGTCAAATGGACCCCGCCTACCTCCCGCCCCCATAAAAAATGGAACCCATTTACGTCGTATTTATTATAAAAAAAAGGTATTTAAACGATTAATTATAATAAAAGATCCATTAAAACATTTTAGAACATTAAAAAATATATTTGATTGACTGATTGAATGATTGTTTGGTTAAAAGTAATTTTATTGGAATCGCTCCAACGTACAATTGCATTTCGCTTAGTACTTGTTTAACTAAGCAATATATTAAATCATTTTCATTTGAATTGTAATAGTTTCATCTTTAGTTAGTCAGTTTTTGTCAATGCTCTTTAAACTACAAAATTAATTTATTCATTGTGGCTATAATAATGATCCAAAATTCGGATCCCAATTTGGTGATCTGATAGATATGGCCGTTCCCTATGGAATGGCGTTTTTAGTTTTCTTTTATCTTCAAAATTGTAGGTTTGGGAGGTTTTCGCTATTNACAATAAAAACGAAGAGTGCAAAACGTAAAACGCTTGCTATCTCTCTCTAGCGCTTGCCTCTCTGAGAGTTGAGAGAGCGTGGTGAATAAGCTGGTGATCCTCCACTCAGCTGATGACGTTACCTATTAGTAATTCTACCATGCAAGGGGAGAGGGGCGAGCTAGACAAATATGAAATGTAAAATTTAGCTTACTACTGAGTACCAGGTGTAAAAGTTTTTTTTATCAACGACATTGAAAATTCGATGCGATTTGTTTTGTTTGCGTGTCGGTTTACTTTGAAGTAGTTTCAGACCAGACCACTGCTCCATGGGTAAACAGCCCGTTTTTTTGGCATTAATCAAAAAAATACAGCTAAAGCTCTACAAATTGGCATGAATGTTAGTTAGACTAAAGTTGAATATCGAAAAAAATGTAGTCAAATGGACCCCGCCTACCTCCCGCCCCCATAAAAAATGGAACCCATTTACGTCGTATTTATTATAAAAAAAAGGTATTTAAACGATTAATTATAATAAAAGATCCATTAAAACATTTTAGAACTTTAAAAAATATATTTGATTGACTGATTGAATGATTGTTTGGTTAAAAGTAATTTTATTGGAATCGCTCCAACGTACAATTGCATTTCGCTTAGTACTTGCTTAACTAAGCAATATATTAAATCATTTTCATTTGAATTGTAATAGTTTCATCTTTAGTTAGTCAGTTTTTGTCAATGCTCTTTAAACTACAAAATTAATTTATTCATTGTGGCTATAATAATGATCCAAAATTCGGATCCCAATTTGGTGATCTGATAGATATGGCCGTTCCCTATGGAATGGCGTTTTTAGTTTTCTTTTATCTTCAAAATTGTAGGTTTGGGAGGTTTTCGCTCTTTTTCGGGGGCGGGGCTAATTTTTGAAATACACTGGTTTCAGTGTGAGCATACAGCTGTCTGGACTTGGTCCTTTTTTGGTGGCTCTAGTTCTTATAGTCTCTGAGAACTAGCCGACAAACAAGACGGACAGACAGACATGGCTCTATCGACTCGGCTATTGATGCTGATCAAGAATATATATACTTATGTGGTCGGAAACGTTTTCTTCTGTCCGTTACATACAACCGTTATTCGCACACATTCAATATACCCTATTTACTCTTCGAGTACCGGGTATAAATATACACTAACAAAACATTGGACAATTAAAAACCTACACACAACTATCAAAAAATTATTATTATAAGAAATTAATTTAAAACAGCCACAATGAATAAATTAATTTGCAGTGGCTAAACCCACCCTGTCCCGCAGCTTTTGTTGTTCTTTTTACATTCTCTCATTTACACTCTGCTTCTGCTTCACTCGGCCCCTGCCTCTGCCCTCCCCCTGCCGCTGCCTCTTCCGACTTTTAACCCACCCTGTCCCGCAGCTTATATTTGTGTTTTTTTTTGTGTTCGGCCGCTGCCTCTGCCGCGAGTCTGCAGTGTGTGGGTCTAGGGAAGGGCGGCGAGCTAAAGGAGCTTGTTGGTATGAGTAGTGTTGTTGATGTAGATGACAGATGAAGAAAAAATGTAAAATTTGACAAATAACCGCTAAGGTGCAGAAGTTGTACTGAGTGCCGGGTATAAAAGTTGTGACGCGTAAGAAGCGTCTCACACGTCCCTTCTCGTTTTTTTTAACTTTCCAAAGGTTCGTTGGGATGTGCCCAAGTCGTAAATTTTGGCTCTGCGAAGAGGTTACAGTCCTCGTCGGAATCGAGGCCGTGCTGAACTCCAAGCCACTGGGAGCCCTCAGCCTGGACCCAAACGACAGCGAGGCACTCATGTCCGGGCACGTACTGACAGCCGGGTCGCTTCCCCGCTTTTTTAGATCTGGTTGTATAGAACTTTTTTTTATCTTAAAGCTGATTGATGCAGCGTAAATGTGATTCGAAACACTTTATGGTTTTAAAGTACCATCTGGGCAATATTAAGCTTTGAAATGCAATAATGTTGATTTTTGTGAAGTATTACAAAAAAAAATTCGACTTTAAGCACTCAGGAAAAGTCGAAAAAAAATGATGTATTGTGTTTTGTATTTTTGTATAGGTGCATTCATTCGGCTTCGTTAAAGGTATTGATCATCAAAAACTTTGGAGATCTAAGATCTAAGATGGGAAAAAACAAAGTGCTACCTCTGAAAAAATGGTTAAATAAATACCAGATTTTACAAATTCCTGAAACAAAAAGTTCTGCCATAGAAAAAAAAATAGTCATCAGAAAAAATGTACATATTTGAAAAATAACATTATTCGACAAGATTTTACGCTTTCAAATTTAAAATTTCATAACTTCTCACCCCAACACGCTCTTTTAGCGAGCGCCCTCCCCTAGAGCCGCACACTACACGAAGCAGAGTGTGGATGAGAGAATGTACAAAAACCAACGAGAAGGGAAGTGTGAGACGCTTCTTAGGCGTCACAAGTTTTATACCCTGTACTCAGTACAACATCTGTACTGAGAGAATGTGCAAAAAACCAAAAAAAAACTGCTGGACAGGGTGGACGCAGCCACGGCAAATTAATTTCTTCATTATGGCCCCAATCTGATCTGATAGATATGGTCCTTCCCTATGGAATGGCGTTTTTAGTTTTCTCGTATCTTCAAAATTGTAAATACCGCAGATTTTTCGCAATTTGCTGTTTTAGGTTTTAGTTTGGTTTGTTTTATTGATTTTTATACCCGGTACTCGAAGAGTAAATTATATATATTGTATTTGTGCGAAAAACGGTTGTATATAACGCATAGAAGGAAACGGTTCCGACCCCATAAAGAATATATATTCTTGATCAGCAACAATAGCCGAGTCGATTGAGCCCTGTCTGTCTGTCCGTCCGTGTTTCTTGTTTGTCGGCTAGTTCTCAGAGACTATAAGAGCTAGAGCCACCAAATTTTGGCTCCAGACTGCTGTATGCTCACACTGAAACCAGTGTGTTTCAAAAATTAGCCCGCCCCCTTTCGCCCCCACAAAATGGCGAAAACCTCCCAAATCTACAATTTTGAAGATAAAAGCCATTCTGTAGGGAATGACCATTTCGATCAGATCACCTAATTGGGATCCGATTGGATCATTATTATAGCCACAATGAATAAATTAATTTGCAGTGGCTAAACCCACCCTGTCCAGCAGCGTTTGTTGTTTTTTTCACATTCTCCCATTCACACTCTGTTTCTTCAGTTGCCGCTGGCCGCTGCCTCTGCCTCTGACGTGGATCTGAAGTGTGCGGCTCTAGGGGAGGGCGAGCGAAAATAGCGTGTGAAGTTATGTAGATGTAGATGACAGGTGTAGACAAAATGTAAAATGTCAAATGTAAAACTTAAAAAAAAAAAAAACAAAATGGTATAGGTACACTGAGTGCCGGGTATAAAAATTGTGACGCGTAAGATGCGTCTCAAACGTCCCTTCTTGTTAACAATAGCTTAATGCTTTTTCATTACATTCCGCATTCTTTTCAATAAAAATTGTATATTTTTCTGATGGTTTTATACGTTTCACTACTTGTATTGCGAGTTTTTATTGAAAAATTTATTGTAACCGTTTGCACTCAACTTAAACTTGATTTTCTGTTAAATTTTCCATTAAAATTTAGAAAAAGGTTCTACATTTTTTTCCTTTTTGGTGAACTTTTTTGAATGAAGTAATGGATGGTTTAATTTAACACGAAAAGCTTAACAAATCCACTTTCAATAAATATTTAAGTAATTACTTGTATAATAATAATAATATGGTGCAAATATGGCCTGATCAAATTAAATAAGGCACAATAAGTATAAGATCATAAAATACTTAAGGGAGCTCTGATATATTTTTCATTTGTTTTGTTTGGTGATTGGGGAGTAAATTTAAACAGAATTCGAAAAAGTTTAATTGATAAAACTTGCGGCTATGTTATGTACACACGGTATTTGTAAACACATTTTTGGTTTTCGAGTGTTTAATAGCTTTTTTTCATACTGGACTGGATCCATCTTCACCCATTTAACAATTTTGTAAACTACTTTTCTATTCTCGTTACGGATCTGTTGAGGTTTTTATAATTTGGCGCGGGTTTTCCGGGGTGCAATCTACAGTTTGATGCAGATCTCGTTTGTGAACTCAGAGCACTTTGCGCGGCCGCCGAGATCTCCGGTCAAGTATTTGCCCTCTTTGATGGTTTCAAAAGCAGCGCGCTCTATCTTTTCGGCGTGTGAGTTAAGCTCCATGTGGCGCAGCATCATGACTGCGGAAAGAAGAAGGGCAGTGGGGTTGGCCAAATCCTTGCCAGCAATATCGGGAGCGGTACCATGAACAGACTCAAAGAGCGCGCCGTTCAGACCCATGTTGCCGGAGGGCGTCAGGCCGAGACCGCCAACCAGACCGGCACACATATCGGATAGAATATCACCATATAGATTGGGCATGACCTGAAAGCGAACGCTCCAAGGATCACTAATACAGCTCTCAGCACTGAAAGGTCTTAACTTACAAGTACGTCATATTTGCCTGGATTCTGGACCATGTTTAAGCAAACGGTGTCCAAATATCGCTCCTCAAACTGGATATCTGGGAATTTTTGGGCCATATCTCGAACACATCGTAGAAACAGACCATCGGACATACGCCTAAAAATAAGATTAGATAATTCAGTGAGTGTATGTGTTATGATTTATCTTAATTTATAAGTATCTACTTACATAATGTTTGCCTTGTGCACGACGGTTACCTTTTTCCGATTATTGTTCTTGGCATATTGAAAGGCATACTCTGCCACGCGCTTAGAGGCCTCCTCGGTGATCAGCTTGATGCTCTGAACGACGCCATCGACGATCTCGTGTTCAATGCCAGAGTACTCGCCCTCGGTGTTTTCACGTATGGTAACTACGTCAACATCGTCGTACAGTGTTTTATAGCCCTCAAGACTGCGGCAGGGACGCACATTGGCATAGAGGTTGAACTCCTTGCGAAGGGCCAAGTTAAGCGAACGATGCCCTTTTCCCACGGGCGTCATCAGTGGGCCCTTTAAGCCGATCTTGTTCGTGTTCACCGAGTCGATGGCTGCTTGTGGAATGCCGAATTTTCCATCTGGGCCCTGCTCATAATAAAAGAAAGAAAATCGAGTTAGTATATATGTTCGTATATAAAGATGACATATCTGCACATATATACATACATACATATACATATATATTTATGTATTTAAATATACATTTTTTGGACATACATACATATGTACATATGTTCGTTTACTTACATAGAAAATAACAACCCTAAAAGCTTGGTTCTAGGCAAAGACAATATAATAGTAAGATGAGCAATGTTCATATGTACATTTGAACGGCAGTCTGGCAGTATGATCTTGTCGAACGACGAAAAGCCAAGAAACCCACAACGGTTTCGGTAGCTCACATATCAGAGCGTAGATATCTAAAAATATAATGGCTTCAATGTGAGTACGCACAAGCCAAGCGGACGAATTTCGAGAAGAAACTACTATCTTTTCTGTTGTTGTTATTTAATCGCTACAGCGAAATTGGTTGGTCGCAGACGATGAGTCCGCATTGACCAGGTACTTCAGTTTATGTTGAATATTAGAAAAATGTTCCTGAAAATTTTGAACTCAAAAAAGAGTTGTTTGCCGAACGAACACCAGAAATAGAATGAAGAAACTACTTTCATAAAATTTTTTCATAAATATATGTGCTTATTGACATGACGCACCCTAATGCATAAGGTAAGGTGTGCGAAATAAGTCACCAATAAGTCACATAAGTCAGTGCTTTTGATCGGCTGTCAAATCTTCTTCGTTGGGTTTGGGCGGGGCAAATTTTTTGAAATACACTGGTTTCAGTGTGCGCATACAGCAGTCTGGAGCCAAAATTTGGTGGCTCTAGATCTTATAGTCTCTGAGAACTAGCTGATAAACAACACGGACAGACGGACAGATGACATGGCTCTATCGACTCGGCTATTGATGCTGATCAAGAATATATATACTTTATGGGGTCGGAAACGTTTCCTTCTGTGCGTTACACACAACCGTTATTCGCACAAATTCCAGTGTAATTAAAAAATTAGCCTTCCGCCCCCTTCCGCCCCCGACAAAGGGCGAAAACCTCTCAAACCTACAGTTTTGAGGATAAAAGAAAACTAAAAACGCCATTCCGTAGGGAATGACCATATCTATAAGATCACCAAATTGGGTGATGATCCGAATGATCCGATTGGATCATTATTATTGCCACAATGAAGAAATTCATTTGCAGTGGCTAAACCTACCCTGTCCCGCAGCTTTTATTGTTCTTTTTACATTCTCTCATTCACACTCTGCTTCTGCCTCACAGCCGGGGACGGAGACGGGAGGGGGACGGCGACGGAGAAGGCTGAAAATTGGGTGGGACAGGGCGTCGAATATAAACACAAAAAAAAACACAAGCCGGCGACGGAGACGGCGCTCAGACGTCACACACCCAGATCCCTTCCCGCCGCTCGATTTCCTCGAACAACCATACTCATCACAACAACTACATCTACTGTCTACTAGAAAAAATGTAAAATTTGACAAATAACCGCTAAGGTGCAGAAGTTGTACTGAGTGCCGGGTATAAAAGTTGTGACGCGTAAGAAGCGTCTCACACGTCCCTTCTCGTTTTTGATAGCAATCGGCAATCGCCGATATTTTTGCAACAGGAAANTTATATTTGTGTTTTTTTTTGTGTTCGGCCGCTGCCTCTGCCGCGAGTCTGCAGTGTGTGGGTCTAGGGAAGGGCGGCGAGCTAAAGGAGCTTGTTGGTATGAGTAGTGTTGTTGATGTAGATGACAGATGAAGAAAAAATGTAAAATTTGACAAATAACCGCTAAGGTGCAGAAGTTGTACTGAGTGCCGGGTATAAAAGTTGTGACGCGTAAGAAGCGTCTCACACGTCCCTTCTCGTTTTTGATAGCAATCGGCAATCGCCGATATTTTTGCAACAGGAAAGCTACCCAGGTCATGTATATCCATATAGTTTACCAAGGTAAAATTGCATTTTCTGCCCTTTGTTTAATGAAAGCTCCTCACTTCATGAACTTCAATTAGTTCAACCGGTATTTTCACCGGTCCCTGACGGAGTTCCCGGCTGCTTAAACTATTTACTCTATCCATCTATTATTCTTACATGCCCCCCATCGGAAAGGAATCTTTTATACTTCCACTCCATAAGAAAGGTAGCAAGTCTAACGCAAAAACTATAGACGTACACTGACAAGGAAAACTGTAACACGAGTTCAAGCTTCTCACTTTAACGGTCAGTATCTTCTCTTCTATTTAATTCAGCCTCAAATTCTTGGTCTTGTTTTGTTGGTGACCTATTTAGCTGTGTTTTAAAAATTTGAAGACATTTGATAGTCCAGAAGAAATTTTTTTTAAGTTCCCAATGCGATTTGGAATATTGAGGGAGAAGCGTTGCACCGATGCAGGGGTGAATTTTGTACCATTCGTCCTTTGGCCTCTCCCACAACTAAATAATTATATTTGGAAAGTCTGCATATTTTTCATGCTACGATTTTACATGGAACTATTATTTTGCAATAGTATTCATATCGGAATATTACATTATATTACTTATATAGATTATATTACTTGGTGACTGAAACAGATGGTCAGATGAACTAAAAATGTATTGTTTCCAATTGTTCCGAGTCAGCCGAACTCTCAAGTTATTGAGAAGAGTCCCACTATCCATATAATACAATATGACTGCATAATAATAAGGACATTTAATTTCACTCTCGCTTGCAATCAGATCTCAATGCCTCGAAATGCAAAGTAATGTCTTTTCATCGGTCCAGCCCCTTACTGGCTCCTTACACCCTCTGCGGTAGTTCTCTTGAGATAATTACTATGGTTGATGATCTTGGTGTTAAACTAGACCCCAAGTTAAAGTTTTCTGAACACAGAACACTAGAAACTTTATTTCTTTTTTCTTTGTAGATCGAATTATGACTTACAGGACCATTTAGGGTCTTATGCTCGGATTATAATTTCCTCTATCACATTATATCCTCCACTAACTTCCTTCCTCTCCTTAAATCTTTTATCCTAGTCTACCTCTCCCGTGGTTAGTTTCATTTTAATTTTGTTTTGCTTCTGATTTTGGTAACTTAGCTTGCTTAGCTCTTTTAGTTGTGTTTAGCTCTAATTTTCCTCGAATATTGGTTTCGCATGGGCCACTTGATGGTGAAGTCACTGCATATCAACGTCCAGAATAAAAACGAGAAGGGACGTGTGAGACGCTTCTTACGCGTCACAACTTTTATACCCGGCACTCAGTACTACATCTGCACCTTAGCGGTGTTTTGTCAAATTTTACATTTTTTCTTCATCTATCATCTACATCTACAACACTTCTCACACCAACACGCTCCTTTAGCTCTTCCCTAGACCCACACACTGCAGACTCGCGGCAGAGGCAGCGCCCGCACACAAAAAAAAAAAACAATTATAAGCTGCGGGACGGGGTGGGTTAAAAGTCGGCAGAGGCAGCGGCAGGGGGAGGGCAGAGGCAGAGGCCTCTGGCAAACAACTTTTTTTGGCGTTTTTTGAATTGTTATTTTGTTGACTTTAAAGCAAAATTAGAGAAAGAAAAAAATTGAAAATTTAACAAATGTTATTATGTTTGTAAGGTGACTTATTGCGCGCACCTTACCTCTGAACTCACTCATCGAGCACCGGTAACAAAAAAGGTGTTATTGTTTTATTGTCTTATGAGAGTATTCCCTACTTACTCGAACGGGGGTCACGTCGACGGCTTCCCATTCAATGGGCACATTGGCCGCAGCAAATATTTTTTGAACGGCAGCGGAGATCTCAGGACCAATGCCATCCCCAGGTATCAGTGTGACTTTTTTAGATCCAGAAGAGTAGGCACGACTGGAATACGGAGTTGTGTTGACCTGCAAACAAAACTTTAATTGTAATGTGCATTTAAATGCGCTCTTACAAATCCGATACAATGAAAATTCGTGAGGTTACTGTTTAGAGTGGGACCTAAGAACGGTTCTAATCGAGGAGGTACGTGAGAGACGCTTCTTACTTCGTACTCAAAGAGTAAATAGGGTATATTGTATTTGTGCACAACGTGAATGTATGTAACACACAGAAGGAAACGTCTCCGACCCCATAAGGTATATATATTCTTGATCAGCATTAATAGCCGAGTCGATTGAGCCATGTCTGTCTGTCCGTCCGTCTGTCTGTCCGTCCGTCTTGAGCGCCTGGATTTTAGAGACCATAAAAGTTAGAGCCACACTGTTACAAGTGTATTTCAAACGCCGCCTTCCGCCCCCGCAGAAGGGCGAAAACCTCCCAAATCTACAATTTTGAAGATAAAAGAAAACTTAAAACGCCATTCCGTAGGGAATGGCCATATCTATCAGATCACCAAATTGGAAGAAATTAATTTGCAGTTGTTAAACCCACCCTGTCCCGCAGCCTTTGTTGTTCTTTTCACATTCTCTCATTCACATTCACACTCTGCTTCTGCTTCACTAGAGTTATGCTTGATGTTAGCCACTGGAAACTAATTTCTTCATTTTGGCTATAATAATGATCCACTCCAGTCTCATTTTGGTGATCTGATAGATATGCTCAGCATACATCTGTCTGAAGGAAAAAATTGTTGGCTCTAGGTCGTAGTGTCCGAGAACTACCCGACAAACAAGACGGACAGACAGACATGGCTATATCGACTCGGATATTAATTCTGATCAAGAATATATATACTTTATGGGGTCGAAAACGTTTCCTTCTGTGAGTTACATACATATGTATATCCACTTTAGTGCACACATATGTACAATATACCCTGATTACTCTTCTAGAACCGGGTATAAAATTAATACGATACAAATTTAACCACATAAAAATAGAGTTCACCGCATATGCCAAGATATATTACATAAGAAATCTGCAGTCTCTTTCCCCTTGAGTACGGTACTGACCCCGCTGCTACACATATCGTAATATTGAGGTTAGACAGTATCAGAGCAGTGTTGAGCACAAATGGTAAGTTGAGGCTCTGTGCATTAATTCAATTACGCTAATAGTTCCAATATCACTTGCAATTCAGTATCAATTGCAGACAAATCTACGCAATTGAGCTACCAGTTGAAGACAGGAAAAAAATATAGGAAAGTGTGCTTCGCAGCTTGTTATGTAAAGAGGGCTCGGCTCTTGCTCTTTTTAATTTCTTCCAGATAAACCAAACGATATACAACATTTACGAATTTTCAGCGAAAATGGGACTGATTCAATATAGGGTTCACTTTTGTACAAGCAAACCTTGGTTTCAAGGATAGTTTCAGAAAAGACCGTTGACGCGGACATTGATTGAGCTGGTAATGTTTTGCGTAATGTTTTGTGGGTTGTGTTGAGTGGATGCTTTTTAAAAACGTCATCCGATCGTAAAAGAAAATAGTTGTATTTTCATTATATTTATGTTGATTTAAAACTAACAACGAAATACATTGTCGGTCCTTAATGCCCCAAGGTGAGTTAGGACAAGGAGGTGGTGATAGAGAAAACTTTTAAGCGATGTTTCGTTTAGAGAAATGATTTGTTCAGAACAGTGCTTAATGAAATTTACACTTATTCTTACAATTTTCTGTATAAATCTAGCAGCCATTTCGTTGTGTTTGCACTTGCTTCCTCGTGTATTGAAAATGTATCTGTCAATTTACGCCCGCCGTAGTTGCGACCTTGCGGAAAACTGGCGAATCTGCCGATAGAATGACCACAATGCTATATATCGATATTAAATGTCTCGTGCTGTTGTTTGCTCACAACTAGTCAACTTAAAGCCTAGTACTCAGAACGAAAACAAGGGGCCGCTAGAAAACTTAAAATTTTTGCGCGCTCAAGTTGCTTTCTAGCGGCTGTACGCCAGGCAGTACTCATATCAACAAAACGCTAAAGAAATCAGGAATGATATTCGTATGGAACCGATAAGAAAGTTTTGTGCGCACAAGCTACTTTCTAGCGGCTGTACGCCATGCAGTACTCAGATCGACAAAAGGCCGAAATAAGTCAGTATTTTGTGGTTTTGATAGTATTTGTATGGTATTCGTTGGTATGTTGCTAGCAGCTCGAAAAATATAGATATGTTTTAATTTCCGAGAGGGTACCTAGAAAACAGAGAAGTCTCAATCATATGGTGGCAACAATGCCGCTGAAGTTAAAAGATAAATGACCACCGTGCTTCTTAACGAGCTTAAGGCAATCAAACAGCAAAGAAAGGAAACTATTATTGTAGATTTATAAGAATATATTGAATGCATTTGAATTTTTACTTTGTAACAAACAACATCTGCAGCCTTCTTTGATTGGTGAAGCAGCAAGGCCGTGCCAAGGATTATTTGCGCTCGTGGCGAAGTTTTAAGACGGAGCCCCCAAGCACCCTTCTTATTCAAAATGGGATAGTTTCGAGTCCAGATTGTCGCCATTGCCCCTTGACACGACCCTGTGGAGCAGTACTTGGTCCCAAAAGGAAAACAATTTATAACATTTTGTTAAAAGCCCAGCCGGGTCTGTGTCTTGGTAACATGAAGATACTGGCGTTCAAATAGGTTAAACAAATTAAACGAGAAGGGACGTGTGAGACGCTTCTTACGCGTCACAACTTTTATACGAAGCAGAAGCAGAGTGTCAATGAGAGAATGTGAAAAGAAAATCAAAAGCTGCGGGACAGGGTGGGTTTAGAAACAGCATATAAATTTCTTCATTCTGGCTATAATAATGATCCAATCGGATCGGTTTTCAATTTGGTGATCTGATAGATATGGTTATTCCCTACGAAATGGCGTTTTAAATTATCTTTTATCTTCAAAATTGTAGATTTGGGAGGCTTTCGCCTTTTTCAGGAGGCGGAAGGGTGCGTGGCTCATATTTGAAATACACTTGTAACAGTGGGAGCATATAGCAGTCTGGATGCAAAATTTGGTGGCTCTAGCTTTTATGGTCTCTGAGATCCAGGCGCTCAACAAGACGGACGGACAGACGGACAGACAGACATATCTCAATCGACTCGGCTTTTGATGCTGAGCAAGAATATTTATACTTTATGGGGTCGGAAACGTTTCCTTCTGTGTGTTACATACATTCACTTTGTACTCTTGGAGTACCGGGTATAAAAAATGCAAATCAAATTCAATATAACCATAAGAATTGTTCCCTCTTTTTGCCGTTTGATGGCCTCAAGCCCATTGAGAAGCACGGTGGTCACATTTCTCTCCACTTAAGCCTCAGATCGAAAAACACGTTTGCTAGCAAACTGTGCAATGTATTTTGCTAGCAGCATAGTGTGACCAGAGGTGAAACCGCATTCCGTACGGTTACACTGCACAGGCAGCTGTGTTGTTTTGTTTACCTTTTGAAAGTGTGTGAAAATTGAATAAAAGGTTAATAAAACAATGAATGCAAAATGGATCTATGCAGGAGATTTTTTCAGTGAGACTGGCGGCTCTTGCATGATCGGAGGAGGAGGACAATCAAATAAAAAAAGCTTTTGATTAAACCCATATCTGCAGGAAAGAAACCAGGACGGTCGTTTGTCTATACATTTGAGTATTATAAGTCATATAAATATGTGACCATTTATGGAAACCCATGAAACGATACCCTTTGCATATTACTCAGTTTAAAAATATGACAAAAAATTTGCACATGGCTGGGAATAACATCTGCAGCCTTCTTTGATTGGTGAAGCAACAAGCCCGTGCCAAGGAATTTTTGCGCCGGTGCAAAGTTGTCAAACGGCGCCTCCAAGCACCCTTCCTATTCAAAATTGGATAGTTTTTAGTTCAAATCGCCGCTTTCACCTCTCCACGGCATGGCCCTGTGGAGCAGTACTTGGTCCCAAAAGGAAAACCACTTATAACAGCATAGCCGGGCCTGTTTCTTGGCATCATGAAGATATTTGCGTTCAAATAAATTAAACAAATTAAAAAGCAAATAAATTCAATATAATCTCATTGATATATAATATCATTTATCTTTTCAGCTCCAGCGGCTTTGTTGCTTCCATTTAATTGAGACTTCTTTACTCTCTGTTTGCTAGGGATCCTCTCGGAATATAAAACAAATCTATATTTGTGGAGCTGCTAGCAACATACCAACGAATACCACACAAATACTATCAATACATCATAAAACTATCGGCTGTCTTTCTAGATTTAATCGGCCTGTTTTTTTGTCGATCTGAGTACTGCCTGGCGTACACCCGCTAGAAAGTAAATTGTGCGCGCAAAATTTCTTATCGGCTTCATACGAATATCATCCCTGATTTTTCTACCGGCGCCTGTTTTTCCATCTGAGTACTAGGCTGAACTATAAAGAGGGTTTCGTATCGTATGCATGGATTCCGTCTCAAGAATAGTTTGTGTGTCTGAGTACTGTGCTCCAAGCTGATGTAGTTGATACATCGAATCGTTTATATCGATAGTACGCATTTATCCTTTACAACCGTGGTTTTTTCATAGAGTTCAAAAATTTGAGAATTTTGGAAATTTTCTGTCCATCCTGTTGAATAAACTTAAAGTCAAAGATATGTAATATTTTCAATGTAAGAATTTAAAGTTTTAGGGAAAAATTGTAACGCAAAATACGAACGCTAAACAGACAAAAAATCAACCGATAGACAAAGCTACGCTACGGTTGTGTTAGTCAAAGTGCGCTGAGCTTGAATCGGTACGCCAGCGACTTTTACTTCGCATTTCAGTTTTGGTTTTGGCTACCTGTACGAAAAAGCCTACCCTGTCGTTCTGTCGTTTTATTGAGCTTCCGAATGAGTAATATTAAAAAAAAAATAGTTTAACCACAGTTATTGCCTGTGGTTCTGTGCATATACATAAGCGGTGGCGAAAGAAGTCGTCCATTTTTGTAGAAGCACTCTAGCGCGGGGTTTCAATTGTCCTGGTCGAGCCTGCCGTCGGTCAACCTGAAAGGTAACTCATTTCAATCTGGAATTTTCTCGTAATTATCCTTGAAAACAAACCTTTTTTAGTGAATCCAATGAATATGAACATTTGGTAGCATGCCATTTGCAAGTGCTCTCTCCCACACACATGTACATATGTATAGTTTAATACATGTCTGTTTGTCAGACCAATGTTGTGTTTTTTTACATAAAGTACGCACACCCTCGATGAATGCGTTGCAAAATTTGAAGAGATGTTTAGCACTTAAATTTTCTTCCTGCAGTATGCGGGTAATCCAGAATGTTGCAGTGAATAAACGTAAAAGCAGGCTATTAACAAATCGCTTTTCCTTTTTCACTCAGTTTTTTGGGACCGTAGTAATACTGTTTAAGACGGCAAAATTCATTTTAATTGGCAAACTGGAGAAAATTAATAAACGCGCCCAGCTTATTCGGGACAAAATGGTGTTGGCTGAGCGCAACATCACGGATGTGGTGCGAAACGGACGTCGGTCGCGTGGACCCAGCCCCAACACGAATACAACTGGTGGTGTGGCTTCTAATGCGAACATAGTTGCAAGCGGAGGTGGTGGGGCTGGGGTTGTTAACCCCACAAATCCACAATCCAATGAGAAGGCCTCAACGATCGTACCGGGTGCGGGCACGCCGGAGAGCTCAGACGACGACAACTGTAAGTTGCAGTTAGCCCAACAAGTGCTCAATTAAGCAGTTTCACTACTTCTCTCTTCTCCAAAATCCAGCAACAAAGCGCAACGGGAAATCAAAGGCCAAGCAATCTGACTATGAAGGTAAATGAGATCCTTGCTCATATTTCACTCACTTCTCAAGCCAAATAAACATTCACAGAAAAAATTCGAGTTGGACGCGACTATCAGGCGGTTTGTCCGCCACTCGTCGCCGAAGTTGAGCGCCGACCAGAACAAATGAATGAACGCGCCCTCTTGGTCTGGTCGCCAACAAAAGAGATACCAGACCTAAAACGTACGTTACATAGTAAGCTAGGTGGCATGACAATACCCAATCCAAATGCTTCCTTAAATTAACATTTGACCGGATGACCTCTGCATTTCTATACTGGATAAATTTTTTGATTTGCACTTTTGCATGAGGTGGTGTTACGTCATGCCAAGTCTGATGTTTACGCTGTGTTGTTTAGTAAATTATTTATACATAATCTCGTCAACATGCAGTTGAGGAGTACATTTCAGTGGCAAAGGAGAAATACGGCTACAACGGTGAACAAGCTCTAGGCATGCTGTTCTGGCACAAACACGATTTGGAGCGGGCCGTGATGGACTTGGCCAACTTTACGCCATTTCCTGATGAGTGGACCATTGAGGACAAAGTCTTATTTGAGCAGGCATTTCAGTTTCACGGGAAAAGCTTCCATCGAATACGTCAAATGGTAAGTGAATCTTTGCTGAGATGTGATGTAAGTTTAACATAGTTTCCCCTTTACAAATCGAATAGCTACCAGACAAATCAATCGCAAGTTTGGTGAAATACTATTACTCGTGGAAGAAGACGCGTCATCGTAGCAGTGCAATGGATCGACAGGAAAAGACCATGAAGGCTTGTGTCAAGGATGGTTCTGAGAATGGCAGTGAAGTGGGTAGCAATGAGGAGTCTGATAACGATGACAAGGTAATTATCAGGTAGACAGGAACTATTAGTGTAAAGATCATTCCCTGCTATCTTATATCTATACATATATATGTACAAAACATATGCATATACATACATATATACCCCACTCATACTGAAACAACCCATACGTAAATATAGACGTATTCAACTGAAAGCGAAGGATGACGGCACCACCCGTCGGCCTCCCCCGTTAATATAAATGAGTCACAACCATAGTAAATTATGTTAGGCGAAAAAAAAATGTGTGTATGAAAACACAAATAAACATAAAGATTCACAAACTCACAGTTGAATTCAAAATAGCATTTAACATTCAAAGGAATTCATTAGATCTTGTTTAGACAATATAATTTTGTTAATGTATAACAGGTAAATTTCAATCGATTGTCCGATCTCTTTGTGTTTCGACACAGACATGCAAACATATTTTATAGCTACGACATATCTAACTAATAATATACATATATAACATAGTTATTTTCTTTCGTTTTTGATAATCTAATATAGTCTAATATATTTAAGGATCCAATTCATTAGGTACAATTTTCATATGTACATATATAAAATTATTTAACAGCATTCTATAAACCGAACATTAACCTTAAGGGTGAACTCTTCAAAAACGACTGCTTGTGTACGCAAGAGATTGACACATTTTTTGTTGTACGGATATTTGTATTGAGGCTCCTTTCCAAACCAGCCTAATAACAAAGTGAAAGTTCGTATTTGTATGTATATTAAGTTGAATCTGTACTCCTACAAGTCTCAGCTCTGCGCATGCAGCTATGAGAGGTATACGTCGTTACAAAGTATGGTTCATTATTATTTCAGATGACCGCCGTGCCTGCATACATCTCATAAACACTTAACAGAGTACACGCACGCACACATCCTAATACTAATGCCAAAACCAATACAATGACCAGCATCCACTAGACTTACATTAATAATACTTCGTACTCGTACAAAAACACAAGTTGCAACTTTAGAGTTTATTTGATTTGATTGAGAGACTATGATTTTATCACATGATAAATCAAAAGATCAGTTTTACACTAGACTAAGACAATTAACAAATAAATCATTTGTTCAGTAAACAATTTTCTTTAATACTGATAATCATTGATTTGTAAATTATTTTTTATGAATTATTAAGTTATATAAAGACATTAATCAATTTAAGCTCCCTGAGTAATAACCCAAAAAAAAAGCAAAATATAAAAGTTACAATTAATCAAATATGTATGTTAGTATAGTTTGAAAGAAATATAAAAGTATATGGACATTTCTCTGAGGTCGAAAGGAAAATTCGTACGCATAGTTTTCCTTTAAAACGTACAACTTTATTAGCCCCATAACTAGTACTAAGTTCGCTTTTGAAATATTTTCAAAAACAAACAAAAGCACAAAAATAAAAGTTGTTCTCGCGGCGATTAGTCCTAAGTCATACTTCAGCGAAAGTATTAATGCCGATTTCTGATAGTGTGGGTCTTCGTGAACACTAAACTATTTTCTTTTCAAATAGAGCCTATTCCATGAAAATAACCCGCGCAGAGTGGGTGAAACGACCGATCTAGAGTATATAAACTAAAATGGCCTAAATTAAAAAATACCGTGTTTATATTTTCTATGCATCATTTATACATTTAAAGAATTACATGATTAGGACATGGACAAAGCAGACCGCTCCTCACTTGTTATGAGAGTTGACCACTCAAATTACACAAGAGAGTGTGGTGTTAGGAGAGAATGAGGTAGAAAGTAAGAGATCGAGGGTACGACATTCATTCACTTGGAGCTTAGTTTACTCATTCGTTGTAATTCTGCAATCTAGTAGATCTAATAACTTTCTCTCATTCAGCGCTTTCTGTTACTCATAGAGTAAATAGGCTGTATTTCATTTGTGCATGATAGTAGATTTATGTTACGCACATTAGGAAACGTTTCCGACCCCACAAAGTACATATATATATTATTGATCAGCAACAGTACCCATGTCTACGCCTGTCTGTCCATCTGTCCATCCGCCTGCACATCAAAAACTATAAGATCTGTAGTCACCAAATTTTATGTGAGGACTCATGTGATATCACTCTTTTACAAGTGTATTTCAAAATTCGGCCACCACAAAGGTCGAAAAGTTCTTACGGAAAAAGTAACGAAGAGAGAAGTAGAGAATAGCCATATCTATCAGAACATCGAATAAGGATCAGATTCGATCATTATTATGTCCAGAATAACGAAACTCATTTGCAGCGGCTTCCCCCCAGCTTTGCTTATTTGTGTGCACACTCTCTCATTCCACACTCTACTTCGTTAAGTATGCGGCTTTAAGGGAAGGGGTCGAGCTAAAATGACGAGTTGGTGCGGGAAGTGAAGTAGATCTACATAGGTGTAACATACATATGTAGAAGAAATGTAAAATTCGAAAAAATCATGAAGTTAAATACACATCTACATATGCATGTATGTATCACATCAAGGTTACATGCATAAATATAAACTGAATATGTACATAAATATATACAGACTGAGTACCGGGTATAAAAGTTGTGACGCGTACGAAGCGTCTCACAAACCATATTCGTTTTAAACTTAGAATTAAGGAAATTTGAAGCAAAATTGGTGCTAGTTTTAAGAAATGGTGTACATTGATGTCCCTTTAAAATCATAATAATTAAACGCAAATATTATTCATAGTTTTTATACCCTGTACTCGAAGAGTAAATAGGGTATATTGTATTTGTACACAAATTATGTAACACACAGAAGGAAACGCTTCCGACCCCATAAAGTATATATATTCTTGATCAGCATCAATAGCCGAGTCGATTGAGATATGTCTGTCTGTCCGTCCGTCTTGTTTAGCGCCTGGATCTCAGAGACCATAAAAGCTAGAGCCACCAAATTTTGCATCCAGACTTCTGTATGCTCACACTGTTACAAGTGTATTTCAAAGTTTCGCAACGCCCCCTTTTGCCCCCGCAGAGGTCGAAAACCTGCTGGATCTATTATTTTGAAGATAAAAGAAAACTAAAAATGCCATTCCGTAGAAAAGAACCATATATTTTAGATCACCAGAACAGATTAGATCATTATTATGATGAAGAATGATGAATAATAATGATGAAAAATGATGATGAATGAAGAAATTAATCTGTTATTGATTGATTCAGCCCGTCCAGCAGCTCTTTAAGAACTATGGTTTTTATACCCGGTACTCGAGGAGTAAATAGGGTATATTGTATTTGTGCTAAAAATGAATGTATGTAACACACAGAAGGAAACGTTTCCGACCCCATAAAGTATATATATTCTTGATCAGCATCAATAGCCGAGTCGATTGAGCCATGTCTGTCTGTCCGACCGTCTTGTTGAGCGCCTGGATCTCAGAGCCTATAAAAGCTAGAGCCACCAAATCAATCCAGACTTCTGTATGCTCACACTCAATGTTCACATAAAGTTTTTACTCGGTGCGGGGGCGTTTTCCCGCTTTTGGAGGGATTAGATTTTAAAATTATTATTTTCTTTTGATTTTTGAGGTAAGGAATCCCTTACCGGTATAGATAGTCTAGTGGTTTAACCCTAGGCTAACCTACATTATTATAGCCAGAATGAAGAAATTAATTTGCAGTGGCTAAACCCACCCTGTCCCGCTGCTTTTGTTGTTCTTTTCACATTCTCTCATTCACACCCTGCTTCACTCGGCCCCTGCCTCTGCCGTCCCTCTGCCTCTGCCGACTTTTAACCCACCCCGTCCCGCAGCTTATATTTGTTTTTTTTTGTGTGCGGGCGCTGCCTCTGCCTCTGCCTCTGCCGCGAGTCTGCAGTGTGTGAGTCTAGGGAAGGGCGGCAAGCTAACGGAGCGTGTTGGTGTGAGAAGCGTTGTAGATGTAGATGACAGATGAAGAAAATTTTTAAATTTTGACAAAACACCGCTAAGGTGCAGATGTAGTACTGAGTACCGGGTACAAAAGTTGTGACGCGTAAGAAGCATCTCACACGTCCCTTCTCGTTTTCTTTAGCAGCACTTTTTTAAAAGAATTTATTAAATCTGGTATTTTTTGTAACCTTTATTTTTAGAGGCAGTGCTTCTTTTTCCACAAAACTAAAGTATCTTACATCTGGTTGTAATAAACTTAGCCATTCCAAGTGTACCAAACAACTTAATGGTTTTAGCTTACCTTTTGAAAAATATTAAGCTTCAAAATGCTAAAATGTTGAAAGTTTTTTTTACGAAATATTGAATTTAAAAAATCAGGAAAAGTCGAAAAACTTTTCAAGCCTGTGTCCACTATATTTGTATGTACAGGTGCATCAAAATCCATGCAGAGACGGCTGAGTTGAACACCAGCCCTAAAAGCCCGTAAATCCCGCATTTTTCCATACCCGGATTTAGAGCTAGAGCCACCAAATTTCTGTATGCTCACACTGTTACAAGTGTATTTCAAAAATGAGCACCGCTCCCTTCCGCCCTCGCAAAAGGGCGAAAACTTCACAAATCTATAATTTTGAAGATAAAAGAAAACGTCATTCCTTAGGGAATGACCATATCTATCAGATCACCAAATTGGGATCCGATTTTATTATTATAGCCACAATGAATAAATTAATTTGCAGTGGCTAAATCCACCCTGTCCAGAAGCTTTTCTTGATTTTTCACATTTTCTCATTCACACTCTCCTTCTGCAGTGTGCGGCCTCTGCTTCTGCCGTGGATCTGCAGTGGCTCTAGGGGAGGGGGGCTAGCGAAAAAAGCGTGTTGGCGTGAGATGTTATGTAGATGTATGTAGATGTAGATGACAGGTGTACAAAAATGTTTACTGTCAAATGTAAAATTCGAAAAAAAACAATACAACTGATTGAGGACTGGGTATACAAGTTGTGACGTGAAAGAAGCGTCTCACATGTTCCTACTCAATTTTGTGTGTGCAGGTGCATTAATTCGGCTACGTTTAAAATGTTCAAAATTTAAAATTGTTCCTTAAAATCTTTGGAGAGACGGCTGAGCTAAGCTCCTGAATAAATATTGTATCAACAGACCATTTCTAAGCCCCATATCTTTCAGAAAAAAATTTTTTGGTTCCTTGAGAGAAAATCGTGTGGGTAAACATTGTGCACTTCAGTAAACTTTTAAGTGAGTGAAGAAACTCAGTTGTTCAGTTGGTTTCGATGGCTCTTTAAATATGTTGTCGGACTCCTCCCACAAGTTTTTTTTTAGTTTCCTCCTCCACCAAGTTGCCATCAGACTTGTCAGTTGCCGGGTAATTATACCCGGTACTCGAAGAGTAAATCGGATTTATTGTATTTGTGCGAATAACGGTTGTATGTAACGCACAGAAGGAAACGTTTCCGACCCCATAAAGTATATAGATTCTTGATCAGCATCAATAGCCGAGTCGATTGAGCCATGTCTGTCTGTCCGTCCGTCTGTCCGTTCGTCTTGTTGAGCGCCTGGATCTCAGAGACCATGAAAGCTAGAGCCACCAAATTTTGCATCCAGACTTCTGTATGCTCACACTGTTACAAGTGTATTTCAAAATTGCGACCCGCCCTTTCCGCCCCTGCAGAAGGGCGAAAACCTCCCAAACCTACAATTTTTAAAATAAAAGAAAACTGAAAACGCCATTCCGTACGGAATAGCCATATCTATCAGAACACAAAATCTGCCTCTGCCGCGTCTCTGCCCTGACTCTGCAGTGTGTGGCTCTAGGGTAGGGTGGCGAGCTAAAGGAGCGTTTTGGCGTGAGTAGTGTTGTTGATGTAGATGACAGATGAAGAAAAAATGTAAAACTTGACAAATAACCGCTAAGGTGCTGATGTAGTACTGAGTGCCGGGTATAAAAGTTGTGACGCGTAAGAAGAAGAAGAAATAAAGAGAGAAGAGAAGAAGAGAGAAATAAAAAAGTTTATAATTCGGAGAGAACCTTATGTATATATGTACATACATGTGTTTACATACATACATACAAATATATATTTGTATATTACTATATATTGAAAGATATTTAAAGGTTGACAGAGAGAGAGAGAGAGAGAGAGAGAGAGAGAGAGAGAATCATTAATTGGTACACACACACTAAAACGCAGTGTCGTCAAATCAGCCAAATAAGTGCACCTCATTCTAAATTTTGGAAAATTCGGATTTGGATTGTCGAAGAAGAATCACAAATAAGAAGAGATTTTTTTTTTAAAAGGGTTTGGGTGGGGAAAGCGTTGCAAGCCGGGATAGCGTACCACCGTTTTTACTGGCAAGAGACAAGAAAAAAAAAACCAACCAATCAAGCAAACAGCATAAAACAAACAAATAAAACACAATTTTGTACTAGTTAAGTGTTATCAACTGAACTAAAGCAACAACCAAATACGTTTTTCTCTTCTCTTTGCATTTACTGTCAATAAAACCACCACACTAAAAACCTCAAAATACAAAATCAACTCAAAATTGTCCGAAAAAAAAAAACAAAAAATATCAACAAAATATAAAAAAAATCAATCGAAATGATTGATCATAACGTGTGTTACCCATAAAATCATTCGATCTCGAATTTGAATTTCAACAACCAATCGATAAAATTGATGCCACTGTACTGTGAATGCGTTAAATCGAAAACGAAAAATTAATCAAATCTTTGCATGGTATGTGCGCCAACAGACGGGCCATAACAAAAATGGTGAAAACAATAGCAGTAACAGTGCTGACAGCAGCTGTATCGGCAACAACAATAATTGCGACAATAATAATGGAGGAAGCAACAGCATCAACAGCAACGACTTGAACGTGGATCAATTGTGCATCTACGCTTCAAATGCGGTCAACGATAATATACTAGGCTATGGTCTGCCAACCGAAGTTGCAACCAATGGAATCAACAGCAACACTGGAAACGGAATCATTTGCGCCGATATCAACAACGACGACAATTCGACGCGACGCGTGGTTTTGGGCGGTTTTTGTAAAACTTGCAATGTGGTTTGCCACGTTCTATACGATTCGCCAGTGGGGCGCATGTGCAAAAGTTGTCATACGCATTGGAGGTAGATATAATGTCATGGATAACATATACTGGATATATGTATATATATATACATATATACATATATATATGTACTATCCGCTATAAGTTATACAAATCATCAAGATAATGCTAAGTCTTTAATCTCTCTCTTCTTCCTTCTCCTTAAAAAATATTGCATTCAATTGAATATTGTTTGTGCCACAACGATGCTCCTTGTTCCAATTACACACTCACATGAATAATGTCCATCCCGAATCTTTCACGGTCCAATTCTTTTATTCGACCCCATGGTAGACGCACGGGAAATCTTCGACCAATTTCCGGTCCTGAGAGCAATGCACCCAGACGTTCTAATCACAACAGCGCCGCCATTGTGGCTGCCGATCGCTCCAAACGCAAACCTCCCAGGGGCATGTACATCAATCACGACGATCTCACTGCCCTCGCCACCTGCAAGAACCCCAGCGTGTATTTAGCCGAACGTGATCGCAAGATCAGCGCTTTAATGGTTGAAGTAAGATATTTTCAAAACTCCTCCCTCTTCCATCCATGAAACCTGGTTTTTTTCTTTTTGTGCTTTGCCACGCAGAACTTCTGACATAATATAAATTAAATTTGTGTAACCTTGAGAAAAATAACCATTTAAAACAGGTTTTCCCACCATAGTCTAGTATTTAATCTAGATATAAAAAGTCTTTTAACTTAAGCTAAAGTTAGTACAATAAAAATATCAGAATATTTTTTTCTTCCGTTGATTAGATTTGGCTTTAGTTAGCTCATTTTAATAATATATAATTAAAAAATCTCAAAATATTAAAAAGATTTTTACATTGCGCACAATAATGATATCATTAAAAATTTAAAAATTATAATTTATAGGAATTTCTTTATTTAGAGTATCGTAAACATACGATAAGACCAAGAACAAGGTTCATTGATATCAGAGATTTTCATATCACTGCTTTCACATTCACCGACACGCATAAAGATTTGTATAGATATTTGTTCACACGTTTACCTGACCCAATTTTACACCTTGGACCCAATGACAATTTTCAATTGAATGCCCCCTGCACCCTGACCCATTGCAGATACAAAAAAATAGGCAGCTTATGGAGGTGTTGGATAAGGAATGCGATGCTATTAATGTTGACGATATTGTATCTAAGCCAGCTATAGCGATTTCGGAGTCGTCCACAGCGCAGCCGCGCACTTCTGCTCGTTGGACTCCGGATGAGATCAAGGTGGCGCTCCTCGTCTTGCGCGACTATGGAAAGAACTATCCGGTGAGTATGACTTCTTTCATTAACGGAAATTCAAAATCATCTGGCTATGCCCTCCTTGAAACTGCAGATGATAGCCAAACTTGTGTCCACCAAGACCGAAGCGCATGTTCGTGCCTTCTACTTAAACAATCGGCGTCGATACAATCTCGACCAGATCGTGAAAGAGTATGAGGCTGGAAAGTCGGAAGAGTCTGGTGTTGAAGATCATAACGAACAGATAGATGATGGGTCAGCAGCAGCTAACTCACGCTCAGTTAATAAGCCGTTTACCGATGACAGCAACAAAGGACTTAACCCCGATCAGGAGTTACAGGCTAAAAAGGAGAAGCCCGAACTGGTAACAGCTGAAGTACAAAGCGACAACAGTGATACAGCAGTTGTCACTGCCATTGCAATACCCGCTGAGGTTGTTAATTCAAACAGTAGCCTTGTTGTCGTACCCACTGGCAACAAAATCACCATTATGGATGAGTCGGATACCGCCCCTAACTCGAGTACCGATATGGCCATCAGCAGCACCAATACCGGTGTTAGTGCCTCATCCTCGTCACTATCGAGTGTTAACACTCCACCTGCGCCAATATTGGTTGATCAGAAAGAGCCCGACAGCGAAGAGTTATCCGCACTAAATCACAGTTCAAAAGGGGATGCAGACGGTGCTGGAGGAAATGCGGCTACAGGCAATGCCAATGCCAAACGCGAAATCTCCACCATGGTAGGTCTACTCCAGTGCCGCTCCAGCAACAAATTTCTTATCACTTCTATGTTTATTGTATCTGTCAACAGACGTCTGCCGAACAGCCACCAGTCAAAAAAGTAGCACTCTGCACCAGCGTGGAACTCATCGAAAAGTAACTGACCTATGCAGCTCGGTGATGTGTTCGCATATGATATACATATAAGTATATATATATACGTATACATATATATATATAGGTATATATATATACTTATATGTATATATATATACATATATAGGTATATGTATATGTATATATATACACATTCATATATATATATACACCGATACATACATATATAGACAACTTTTGTGCAGCCGCCTCAATCTGCATTCAAGCCGAGACATCCTGTTAGTGCCGAGACCACCAGTAATTAAGACAGGCACATTCATAAGATGTTAGTATGGGTTTAGGGAGTATTTCTAAATTTGGTTTATATTGAATTGACTACATATTTTTTTTTTCTTATATTTCGTTTTTGGGATGCATTTACTAAATGAAAAACATTACAGCATGACCTAAACCAACATTACATTCGTATTTCGAATTACACTGAGATTGATTAGACAGGTGAAGCATGTGTATATTTTTTGGCGAAACAAAAATGCTGAAGTTGGATGAAAAGAAAACGTTTTTAACAGAAGCTTCAAAGTTCAGATTTGGTGGTTTACGGCAGAACGGCTACAATACTTTCCTATAAAATATAAGTGCAGCTTACTCGCTCTGTAAAGACCACAGAAACGAAGGAAAAGTGCACGGGGAAGTTACTACATCCGTGACGTTATCTGTGTTTACTATTAATATAATTAAAATTGAGTATAATATAATTACACAATTGTAAATTATAAACTTTACTATCACCCTTTTTTATACCCGGTACTCGAAAAGTAAATAGGGTATATTGTATTTGTGCACAAAGAGAATGTATGTAACACACAGAAGGATTCGTTTCCGACCCCATAAAGTATATATATTCTTGATCAGCATCAATAGCCGAGTCGATTGAGCCATGTCTGTCTGTCCGTCCGTCTTGTTGAGCGCCTGGATCTCGGAGCCTGTAAAAGCTAGAGCCACCAAATCAATCCAGACTTCTGTATGCTCACACTCAATGTTCACATAAAGTTTTTACTCGGTGCGGGGGCGTTTTCCCGCTTTTGGAGGGATTAGATTTTAAAATTATTATTTTCTTTTGATTTTTGAGGTAAGGAATCCCTTACCGGTATAGATAGTCTAGTGGTTTAACCCTAGGCTAACCTACATTATTATAGCCAGAATGAAGAAATTAATTTGCAGTGGCTAAACCCATCCTGTCCCGCAGCTTTTGTTGTTTTTATTTTCACTCGGCCTCTGCCGACTTTTAACATACCCCGTCCCGCAGCTTATATTTGTTTTTTTTGTGTGCGGGCGCTGCCTTTGCCTCTGCCGCGAGTCTGCAGTGTGTGGGTCTAGGAAAGGGCGGCGAGCTAACGGAGCGTGTTGGTGTGAAAAGTGTTGTAGATGTAGATGACAGATAAAGACAAAATTTAAAATTTGACAAAACACCGCTAAGGTGCAGATGTAGTACTAAGTGCCGGGTATAATGTCCCTTCTCGTTTTGAGCTGTAATTAGCATTTAATGAGGCACTTTTCAAAGTCTTGACAACATTAGCCGCATATAAAGAAAGGTAAAGAGATTGCTCGACTTCACCTAAAAGTTGATATTAGATAAATTACAATATAACTGGACAAAATGTATAAAAAAGCGAAATCCATTTAGAAACATACAAATAAATACGTTAAATATTATTTTCGAGAAGGATTTCATGCCTTGAACTATTTTTGACAGTCTGTCTTTGGCCAACATTAATAAGCTAGATGATTTCTCCACCGGTGCCGATCCACGTACATATGTATGTATACTTAGTTTTCCGTGTGAAAATCATGGTTGGCCCTCAGCCCAGGCGCAAACGGCATACGCTTGGCCTAGGACTATATGAGTAACGTCCATAAACTTAAATGGCAATATGCAAGCAAGATTTTTTCGAACTATCGAAAGCGTGGTATATACATACATATGTAGGTATATATGTACATTAATATGCTTGTGTGTATTTATGTAACCTTAGTGTGATGCCAAAAACTTTACAATACCAAGATATGGCATGAGCGACCAAAAAGCTGTTCGGTACGCCCTATACACAGGGAGCGCGTGGAGTCTCTATTGTCTTTTCGCCTATGCTTCGTTTCTGACCAAGACCAGCTGTGCGAAAGGTACGTCGATTGTGAAGGCATTGACGGCAAGCAGAAGTCTCGACGGGCCTGAGTCGTACAGTGGAAAATTTCAGCTTGCTTAATTAATGAGTGAGAGAAACGTGTTTTTTAAATATTCAAAGCGCCAATAAAGCTAGTCGACTTTTACCAATGTTAGGCTGAGTCCCCACTGTGTCGAGCCAAAGACTTCTGCGCTAATTTTTGAAACAAAATTAATTCAGCGTGATATCACATGAGTCGATATATGTAGCTGTGTCTGTCGGTCCGTCCTGATGAGAGCTTAGTACACAGATAGGGCAACCTAATTTGCATCCAGACAGCTGTCCGCTGTGATTGTGACGAGTGTGACAGTGAGTAAAAGGACGTGATGTTCTAAGATGTGATGTAGTTGTCGATGTATAAGACGTAGAAAATATGTAAAATTAGACAAAATCAAAAGGTTACATACATATGTATCACACTAAGGTTACATACATGTGAATGTAAATACGCTTATACTGACTGAGTACCGGGTATAAAAGTTGTGACGCGTACGAATCGTCTCACAAACGTTCCTACTCGTTTTTATACCCGGTAATTAAAGAGTAAATTGGTTTTCGACCTCATTAAGTATACATATATATTCTTGATCAGCGTCGTTAGCCGAGTCTATGCCAGTCTGTCTTGTTTGTCGGCTTGTTCTCATAAACTATAGGAGCGAGAGCTACGGAAAACCCATTTTTTTCTCTCGTCTCTAGTCTTAAATATATACATATTTATTTTCTTTAAAGAATAATTGTAAGATTGTGTATTTTATATCGTGTCAGTGAAAATCAGTTTGTGCAATTCCAACGAATTTCAAGCGATAAGCTGAAAGAGAATGGGAATAGGAACAAAGGCTGGCCGAATGTAAAAGATAACACCACCCGACACAATTTTTCATTAAGGAATCAAACATACGTTTTATGAAAGATATGGGGCTTAGAAATGGTGTGGTGACAATTTTGTTTCCTACGGCAAAACTATTTTGTAATAATTGTTTTTTTAAAGCTTTTTTCTGAGGTAGCGGTTTGTTTTTTTTTCACATAACTTAAATATTAACTTTGAAATGCAACCAATTAGATTTCTGAAAAAAATTATAGACAGTGTCCTCCATTTATACCCGGTACTCGAAGAGCAAATAGGGAATATTGTATTTGTGGGGAATAACGGATGTTTGTAACGCACAGAAGAAAACGTTTCCGACCCCATAGAGTATATGTATTCTTGATCAGCATCAATAGCCGAGTCGATTGAGCTATGTCTGCCTGTCCGTCCGTCTGTCCGTCCTTATGAGCGCCAACCAAGTTTTGAATCCAGAATTAAGTTTGCTTACACTGTTACAAATGTATTTAAAAAATGAGCTCCGCCCCCACAAAGAGCGAAAATCTCCCACAGCCACAATTTTGAAGATAATAGAAAACTAAAACGCCATTCCGAAGGGAATGACCATATCTATAAGAATAACCGAATTGGGAACAGATTGGATCATTATTCTATCCAGAATGAAGAAATTAATTTGAAGCCGACTGAATTTGAATTGTGAAGCCGACTTCAGGGCAGAAAACGAGAACAAAAGTTGATCAGAAACTTGATCCCATGCAAGTCCCAATGATTTGGTAAAATCGCTGCCGTCGTCGAACTTCAAATATGTTTCCTTGTCATCCTCGGGATCTCCATCGAGCACAGCAGGCACGTTCGAGCACCATTTCTTCAATCGGTACTGACCACCTGACAAAATCCCAGCAGTTTGCTCACGTATGCAGACAGCTTCTTCCGAAGAACTGGCCCCAGATATAAGGTGATCGACGTAAAAGTCCCGGCGCATAGTTGCAGCCCCAACAGGAAACGATATATTTGCCAGCTGATGCATCGCCCGCACAAATAAGTAAGAAGCAGGCTTCGTCCCATAAGTAACAGTGTCCAGCTTAAACATACGAAAATCCTCTTGCACGGAACTCCTCCACAGAATGCACTGCAAGCGGTACGCAGTGGTACACCTTGAAAATATCCCCTGTAATCGCGACTGCGTACGACAGAAACCGAGCAAGAATGTGAAAAGCTTGGGTTGAATGACGGGGCCAGCTATTAAAACGAAGTTCAGGGAATAGCCATCAAACAGTACTCTAAGCTTGGTCGTTGAGATATCTTCCTACACAAAGCAGTGGTAAGGCAATAATCAAGCAATGCTCGGCAGGAAACCAACACTCCTCAACGATTTTTCACCAAGACTGTTGCCGTGGCTAGAACAAATTCATTATCGAGACCCTGGGCAATAAGGGCTGAAGAAGTACATACATGCTGAGTAAGAGTGAGCAGTGGTATAAGTAGTCACCGTGGACGCTGATGCAGAGGAGGCAGTGATAGCCGGAAACGGTTCAGACGAATGGGCAGTATCAAGCGGGCTGGTTATTTCTTTTACTTCTGCTTACCATATCTAAATCCACTGTTTCCAAGGTCCTACATCGCCTCTCCAAAACCGACGCTATGGATTCCCACGACGGCATAAGATTGACGAATGCCTGGTCCTCCAAGCGGTTCTCCCACTTGGCTTGAGGCTCTGGATAAAAATTCCGTAGAAGAACCTGTACGATGATGCATCCCGCGATCTGCTCAAGAGTGCCCAAACCTTGCAGCGCTCGAATGTGAGAGTTGAACTTGTCCGAAATCTCCCGAAGTATGGACACAACCATTTTCCACAGCTTGAAGCACCAGGATCTCAGTAATGTGCTCCTGAAAAACTAAACGTGATGAGCACATCACGATTGAACATTTCTCCAACCAAGGCGATGAGGTAGTTGCAGTCAGAGATTTCCAGCGACCTAACTGTCTCCTAAGTCAAATCACGCAGGCAATAACGTAGATGATGGAACTTTTCTATGTTGGTAAGGTCGGGATGACTTTCGATGATGGTGGTGAACATTGAGTAAAAATCCGTCCAATCAGCATATCCGTCAGCAGTTACATGTGCCCCTGCATAGGTAGAATGCAAAGGCATTTAACCGCTCCACTTCCTCCAGCTGATTGTACAACTTCTCTAATTGCCCGCTCAGCTTCTCGAACTTCTCTAGTTATACGACTAATATGTATTAATCGAAAACCGCAGACTCATCCTTTCAGGCAGCAGTCATCCGTCCGTCATCTTCTGGCACAATTCCGTCGACTTCAGATTTAAAAAAGTCAACATGTTTTGCTCCCTGGTCACTGGCCTGTCGATGGTATCATCCATCGCAGCAGCGGCGCTAGATACGTTCGTAGCGGGAAAATTAGCACAAAGCGTAACGCGCGCAACAACGGGAAGACCGAAAAACGCAATAGTTCATGCACAAATCACGTCGGGGTCACCAATGCTGAGCTACTGAGCGTTTTTAGTGGCTGTTTACAATGTACAATTTATTAGGCGATATTACGCGTATATGTACATATATGGGAAATTTTTAAGGGCTATGGAGGCCGCTGGCTATGGATAGGCGGCGGTCAGAAAAGACCGTGCCCTATGCATTAAATTAAACGAGAGAGAGAGTTATAGATCGGTGGAGCGTGAGAGAATTTCTTAGAT